CATTCCTGATACCACCTTGCCCCTCTACTGAACAACAGCAGATTCAATCACCTCTTCATACCAGACCTCAACTTTGGATCCACACACTAACTTCTTATGCATCCAACTCAAGCTTTCAAGACTTGGGCTTTCAACTTGCAACTCAATTTGCCTTTGTTATCACTGCCCAGAAGCCAGATTTCTTTACTGCTCTCTCACCTCAGTTAATTTCTCCCTCACCCTTTGTGTACATTTTCCAGAAATGCCTTCTGAGTTTCCCCAGTCTCCACACTTGGTTTCCATCACTGTGTGGGTCCTCTTGAATGAATGGCTGAGAGACAGAAAACAAAACGAGGTGTCACACCTGTGCTTCTGCACCATATCTGGATTTTAGTCATTCCTGGAATTAGGGAAACCTGCACAGCACTCAGCTTAGGCTGAGAACATGCTTACAAAACTAACAAAACCACCAAAGCAGTGGCCTCTTCTGCACCAAACACCCGTAGGTCAGCTTTAGCAGCACTGAAGCTCTCGTTTCTATATGGCTGCCTTGGCAATTAGATCCTCTAACTGCCTTGGCAGAAAAACCCATTTCACAGCTCTACAGAGCAGATCATAGTATCATAGAATCACAGAATCTTAGGGGTTGGAAGGGACCTCGAAAGATCATCCAGTCAACCCCCCCTGCCAGAGCAGGGTCACCTAGAGCACATCACACAGGAACGCATCCAGGTGGGTTTTGAATGTCTCCAGTGAAGGAGACTCCACAACCTCTCTGGGCAGCCTGTTCCAGGGCTCTGTCACTCTCACAGTAAAAAAATTTTTTTGGATATTCACCTTGAACCTCCTATGCTCCAATCTGAACCTATTACCCCTTGTCCTGTCACTGGTCATCACTGAAAAAAGCCTAACTCCATCTCCCTGACACTCACCCCTTACATATTTGTAAACATTGATGAGGTCACCCCTCAGTCTCCTTTTCTCCAAGCTAAAGAGACCCAGCTCCCTCAGCCTCTCCTCATAAGGGAGATGTTCCACTCCCTTAATCATCTTCGTAGCTCTGCGCTGGACTCTTTCGAGCAGTTCCCTGTCCTTTTTGAACTGAGAGGCCCAGAACTGGACACAATATTCCAGATGCAGCCTCACCAATGCAGAATAGAGGGGGAGGAGAACCTCTCTTGACTGACTAACCACACCTTTTCTAATGCACCCCAGGATGCCATTGGCCTTCTTGGCCACAAGGGCACATTGCTGGCTCATGGTCATCCTCCTGTCCACCAGGACCCCCAGGTCCCTTTCACCTACACTACTCTCCAGCAGGTCAGCCCCCAACCTGTACTGGGACATGGTGTTTCTCTTCCCCAAATGCAAAACTCTACACTTCCCCTTGTTGAATTTCATCAGGTTTCTCCCCGCCCAACTCTCCAGCCTGTCTAAGTCTCTCTGAATGGCAGCACAGCCTTCTGGTGTGTCAGCCACTCCTCCCAACTTAGTGTCATCAGCAAACTTGCTGAGGGTACATTCTATACCCTCATCCAGGTCATTGATGAAGATGTTGAACAACACCGGTCCCAGTACCGACCCCTGTGGGACTCCACTAGTCACACACCTCCAACCAGATTCTGCCCCATTGACTACAACTCTCTGACTCCTTCCTTTCAACCAGTTCTTGATCCACCTCACTACCTGATCACCAAACCCATACTCGATCAACTTATCTACAAGGATGCTCTTTTTCAAGGAATAGTCTACTTAGGTTCAGCTGGTTTGAAAGTACAGCCATTTGCTTTTGCTACAGGCAAAGACCCTGAAACTCAAAATTGTTATTTTTAAAACAGAGTATTGATTGCAGAGTTTAAAACAAACTAAGTGTCTAAAGGAACATGAGCTTTAATACCCTACCAGAAAGACGATTCACTCCAACAAGTCCCGCCGAACTTGCAATACTAACCAAGTGTCCATGGTTAGAGGCAATCATTGCTGGGAGGAAGGCTTTGTAAGTCTGAAATGTAAGTCAGAGTTGCATTTTAATACGCAAACTACGTGCTACAATATTTTGAAGGTATTGCTTTTAAAGAAAGTCTCCCTAGAGTTTAACAAAGATTCAATTATTAAATTCTTTGTGATGGGACCACCATGTAGATGACCTGCCTTCCCTCCAAGGAAGAAAATGCATGTTAAGTTACTCAATTTGGACAAAAGCCCCACTTATTAAGAACATTGTCACAACAGCTGGTATTTCTCATTGAAACCATCACAATCACAAAGCCACTAGAATACTAACAGAATTGAACTCTTCCCTGTTACTAGAGCAGCTTTCTGTCCATTAATATTGTGAGACTACAACATGTTATTATCTTCAGAGTTTAGCAGATGGTACCCCTCAGTTCTTAAGAGCATCCCTAAATATGAAGCAACTTTGCTTCCACCTGCCCACCCCAGAAGTTCACAAAGGATTAATTCTTTCACCCTTTTTTTACCTTTACAGACTCTCAGGCACACAAAGTGATTTCTTGAATCACTTCTGCCTGAGCTTAGAAGAAGTTTTATATCCTTGCATGTTTTCCTCAGTTCACATATTCAAAATGAACAATATGCAAAGCAGAGGTATTACCCAGAAGTGTGCCATTATGTTCACTTCCATGGTTTTTTCCACAAGTGGATCTGGAGCATCAAGAAATGTCTTCCCAGTTACTACACCAGCGTTGTTCACTAGGATGGTAACATCACCAACTTCTTTTTTAACCTAAAACAAAAAAAAAAGGCCACACGACATTATACAAGAAATACGAAACATGCTTTCCAAGGTTTAGATATGAACACATAATAGAAACATTTCAAGACAGTTGAATTTATTGTGCTTGCTATGTATCCAACCACCACCAGTTTTTCTCTGTTCTCACCTGATGCCTTTTTCAGAGCTGAGCTTCCAACTAGACTCAGCTCCACACAGGCTCTTGCTTTCAGTACCTCAGGTTCTTGCTGCCACTGTTCCCAGTATGTCTCTGTTGTAGCAAGCTTAACTAATGCAACAACTATTTTGCTATGCTAAATCCTTCTTAAAACCAGAAGTGGTTCTGTTTATAGAGCTGCTTCTATGCCACGTGGCAAGGAGATGTGCATAGATCCTCAGGTGATGTCACCAGACTCAGGCATGTCAAATCTATGCCAGGGATGCAGTATCTGAACCTAAAATTGTGAGGTTCCTTGCACTTACTCAAATCCTCTTGTTTTTCCACAGAGCAACACGAGCACAGGACCAGTACTGCCATATGACTGAAAAGCTGAAGCCAGCTTGCACAGTACTTGAGTTTTTTGGTGAGCACAAGAACTGGGATTCCTGTTGGTAGGGTTAATGGCTAGCATCCCAATGGTCTAGGGACTCATCTCTCTCACTGCACAGGACAGCAGTTACTTGGTAGCACCTTAATATTTCAGCTATTTCGAGATTCTTCATGCTATTTTCCACATGCTCCACCTCTCCTGACTACAGTTTTTAAAAGCAGTTTTTCAGTAGCAGTAACCTTACTTACTTGCCAGAGCACACATGTTAAACCAGACTTCCCTACAGCTTTCTGGGGGAATCAGATGGAGTTTACTGCCCTCAGTGTGCTGAAATTAGAATGAGCAAATGGTCACTTTTTCTAAGAAGTACTCCTTATATGCATAGGCAGTGAGAAAGACCACCTACACAATTAATTTCCTCCTTAGAACTTTTGTATCTATTCAAGTATTTTGACTACTTCAAGCAGTTTTACAGGTCAGGAGCTTCAGAGCTTATCTCTTAAAAAAAAAAAAAAAACAACAGGTTTTTTTGCAAGTTTCTCTCTCATGAAGACAGACTGAAAGAACACTGTCTCTCCGTTGATAGTAGCTCTCAGGTCAGCACAAGAAATGTGAAACCTGTAGGAAGGGCAGCAGTTTGTTATGAAAATTAAACAAGACCTGAAGGGTTCTGAATAAAGGAAGATTCTAGGACCTGTGCACTCACACAAGACAAAAGCCTTTTGAGCTTCTGGGGCTTCAGTTCTTTGCTGTACCAGAATACTTACAAGATGGTTCCCCAAAAGTAAGTTGGCTAAAGAATACTATCTACACATCTTGTTCAGTAAGAGGAAGTAGCGTTCTCATTTTACCTCCAGACTGAGAATTGTCATGAACAGACTCACTTGAGAGAACAGCTCTAAGCCAGCCAATATCTAGATACTGGACCAGCTCTCAGAAGGAGAATGAAAATATTTAATGCAGTATTTGAACTTCAGGTCATTAGTCTGAGCTATATGGAGTAAAAGGAAATGAGTACTCCACGTGTTGTTTAATTTGTCATTTCCAGATCAAGGGCTAAAAATGTGTGGATCAGTAGCCTTGGGACATCATGTTGGGCTTATGTCACCTTGCTCTACAGCTGCAGGTAACAGAGCCTCATTTCTTAATGGCATCTCCTTTGCTTGGTGCCCACAGAGACTGAAGAAAGCCTAAGCAGACCAGTAGGCCAGCCCAGCCTGTGTAACAGGAAATAATTAAAGGATAATTTACCACCTATCCTTTATTTTAGCTTATCTTCCTCATCCTCCTTCAACTTATTCCAACCTTGTCCACGATTGTTTAACTAAGTGAGGGCTTAAAAACCGCACAGCAGCCTTAGTAGGATTATACAGAACAGCTTTTATGATCAGTTAATCAGCCAGAGCCCCTCTCCACCTTGCCCATTGCTCACACATCCTTGTCTATTTCCCTCTAAAGAAGCTGTCAGTTGTAACAATTTAAATATTTCTGAATATTTCTTAAGTATTCCTGAAGTAGTTCCACATGATCACCATAGGCAGCCTGAGACAAATTGTTATAGTCACCAAGCTCAGTATGTACCCCTCATCACAAGGTAAAAATAGCCTGCATTTAAAACCATAAATTAATAATTAGTAAATGATGCTTTAATACTGCCCTATGACAAATGATCTTCCAATTCTGCAAGCCTGGACCAGTTCTACTGTTGCTCCTCTACACATGCAAGATGATTTTCAGAAAAGTGGAAAACTGACTGCAGGCTGTCATTTTGATTAACAAGCAAGAAAATAACAGTGCATGAGCAAAAAAAGTACTGTGCACAAGAGATCTGGAAGTTATTGTGAGCCCAGATACAACTTTGCAACATGATAACGAGGAAAAGGCTTCTGTTTCCTCACAAGTAGGAGGATCAAATATCAGTTTCCTATTTCAAAGCCCTGTGTTTTTTAAATTTAGCTGAACTCAAGAGAGAGGGAGGGATAGTTTGGAAAAAGCCACATTCCTTTTGGGGTGGGTTACTTGTGGAACAAGGACATTAGAAAAAAAAAATTGGCTATTGACAGCCAAAAGATGTCCCCCATCCTAGTGGTATGGAAAAGGAACAAGGACACCACATGTGCAGCACTTTCTGGCTTTCTTCCTACTGAAGTGGCTTTTTCCAGGTCTCTCCATGGCTGAGGAAGTACCAGAGCAGGCATTTAATGTTCACATACATTTCACTTTGGGTTTGAGATTATTTTACTGGGCACAGTTTCCAAACATATCCTGTCCTGCCCACATGAATTAAGTTTGCTATTGTCTTGCAAAACTCCAAGTCATTGCATAAGGCTGAATCACCAAGGGTGGGAGGGGACACACACAAAAACCTGGAAGCTGCTGCCACATCTTGCAAAAACTGCTGCACACCATGGGCCAAAGACTGCTACACCACATTAAGTAAACAGTGGCACCAAGACACCAAGCACTAGCTAGTACTAGAGTATTCTTGGCACTAATAACATGGGGAAGTTGTCAACATAGTTCTACATTAATTATCAGGACATGATGTTTCGGAAATAACAGTAGTAGGGTATTTCCTTCTACATGAATCATAAGGAGGATTATTAGTGGTTCAGCTGTTAGTGGACTGCTGATAGAAGGTCATAAGTGAGGAATCATGCAGCAAAACACTCTTACCGCTTCCTTACTCCTCTCTACCTTTGCTTTTATCATCCCTGTGTCACACACACACATATGTACATACTCTTCTCCTATTTCTATTTGGCCAGAAAGGCTCTGCTATTGCTTTTCTCTATGGAGTTGATGTGTCAGTCCTTGAGAGCTCAAAACTGAAGGTTAGTTTCAATTTTTTTCCTGCTGGTGTCCTTCACACTACCATGCTCCCTCCTTCTCCCCTCCTCTTAGCTCAGCAGGAAGCAGTTACAGGCAAATCATGCACAAGCTTCACTTATCAGGAAGTTTGCTCTAGTCCTTTTTGCACTGATAGAAAAAGGCAGAAGGCTAGAGCTTCTTAAACAGCACCAAAAGAAGAAGTCACCTTCAGGAAAACACTCACTCTAGAAACTTTCTAGTCCAACAGTTAAGTTTAGCAACATCTTATGCAAGTGAAAAGGGGCTGCTACAAAGAAAAGCAATTAAGCAATTTTAGCTTTTGACAATTCTACTACTCTGCACAAACTATCTAATCACATGTGATATTTGCAAAGCTCTTCAAGGAAGGGAAACAAGAAATATTTAATGCTGCAAGATACCTTTATCCATTCTGATAAAGCAAGCCTGCAAAAATCTGCTCACAGCCATGGAATTATCTGAAAATTGCCTAAACAGTTAATCCTTTTGACAGTGTGTGGTCTTCAGGGTTTACTTTTGGTTAAAGGCTGCCAGAACTTGAAATACTGCTTTAGCTTCAATCAGTTGTTTTTCTGTACTGCACCAGTAAGTGCTTGCTCAGTAACTGAAAGAATGAGACACTACCCACTTGAAACTAGGTCCTGAAAAAGAGAACCAGCTCTTGCTATTTTTAAAGTCAGAGCTACATAAGTCAATTCTCAAAAACAGCATGTGCTACCCATTCTGAGCTAGTTCACTTTTCTCTCTTGCTTTGAAGCCACTCAGATTTACAGGCACACACCTTAGCACAGTGTCAAAGCCACAAATAAGATACTTTACCTGATCAGCCACTCTGTAGATGTCCTCCCTTTTGCTACAGTCACAGATGTAACAGTGCACTCTCACCGCCCCATTTTGTTTCACCAGTCTGCTTGTCTCCTTGAGCCCCTCCTGGTTAATGTCCCAGAGAACCACTGTGGCTCCAAGGCTGGCAAACTTCAAAGACAACAATCTTCCAATGCCACTGCCCGCTCCTGTTACTAGTACTATTTCACCACTGACATTCTTCTTTCTCTTGGGCACGATCAAGAAGACAAGCGACTCCAGAAAGTAGTAAAAAGAGAGTCCAATAACCTTCAGTGTTTCCAGGAAGAAGTTCATCTTGAGACTATCTCTTCAGATGCCTAATAAAGAGAGATGTTTACCAGATAGAATAAACCATAAAGAGAGAGAAAGCAAACACCAGCATTTCAAAACGGAAAATCATTTTCAGATCCCTTCCAAATATTTTCTCTAGCAGGCTTCCAAGTGTTGTTTTAAAAAAAACCATATAGGCTTACATCTGAACCTGACCCATCCACTTCTGTGTCATCTCCAGGTGCTCCTACTCTCCTCCATAATGCAGCACACAGTTGCTTAATCATTTGGCAGAAAAGGTGAGAAGCACAAGTGTACGGAGTGTTTTGATTAGGAATGTATCCCAAAGCTGTGACTTCCTTCTCTCCGCATCTCTGTATTAAGATGCTCTGAATCAGAGCATCTCAGATATGTGCTTAACTGTATAGTCTGGGCTCATCACAGTAATGCTGACACAGAGAAGCCATTCAGTCTTCAAAAGAATGCTGTTTATTTCCCAGCACACGAATGTTGCACAAGAAATGCACCCTTGGTCAAAGCAGGTTTTAGTCTGACTCACTAAGGCAAAAAGAGTTAATATCTCTTCCTTCTCAGCTAAAGGTAGAGCATGCTGGCACCTACACTTTGACCTTTAGTACTACATGCCCAGTTCAATCACATCTCTTATTTAACATTGCTATCTATGTCTATAGCAAATTGTGGTTGACAAGTGTGGAGAGATAAGTTACTGAGATCTCTGCTCCTGTGAGCAAAGTTCATTAAATTTGACATGTGGATGTCCACGTGTTATCAGGAGTCTTGAGTTTTGTGCATGGGAAACAAGGCCAGTCCTGAAAAGGGACAGGCAAGTGCTAGAACAGAGCAAGTAATTTCAGACAATTTTTGGTAGAAACCTTAGGACACCTATTCAGAAAACAGAAAAGCTTTCATCAAAAATATAGTTGGTAGAGAAGCAAGTTCTTCTTCCTGAAAAAGAGGAGTCATAGGGTGAATGTTTTCTGTTCTTCATTGCCTTTAAAGTGGGACAGAACATGTGCAGAGGTTCTGGCACAGGCAAAGGACAGTGACAGCAGTAAGACATGGAAGAAATCTCAACACAGCACAGAAACATCTTTCTAGAGGAAATCTTTACATCTCCTGTAGTAGGGTCTCGTAGGTACAGAGCTGCTACAGATATAAGCAAAAACAGAGCGATACAGGAGAAGAGTTATTGAATTTAATGTACATAAATAAAAAGAGGAAGTTTTTGGAAACAGAGGTTCTTTGCTGTGTCGAAAGCAGAAGCAAAAATAAATGCAGCTGCTGAAATTAACCTGATTACAGTAACTTAATGCACTTAATGTAATATCTCCCATTTACATGAAAGGAGACTGGTAACTCTGGAGCAGAAAAAGACAGTCCAGTTAAGTGCTATGGAACAAGAAGAGAGGCAATTGCTTTCGAAGTGTAACACACAATCGGACTCAAACCCAGCCTAGAAGGTGTGCCAGTAGTTTATCAAGTAAAAGAAGTGTGTGTTAGACTTCCATAGGAGAGAGGAATGTTAGATCTTAGAGAAATACTGACTTTTGTAGAGAAGCAGGGCTGGTTTAGGCATACGACCCCTCAACCTTCAACAAGACACTTAATTTCCACTGACATGTCTCTTGCCTAACCCAGCTTTAACTGGGCCACGAATCCTCCACTCTCACTGGTTCCTTACACCAGCTCCTGGAAACAAGCATCTCCGTGCACATTTGGCCAATTTTGGCGGCACAACTAAAGTGAGCAGGGATCTAGTTATGGGTGAATGAGCCCAGGTTACCTTTGGCACCCGTAAGAGCTCAGATCCCTTTGATGCCACAGACTGTTGTTTTCCTGTTTTGCTGTTTGTTTTTTTTGTTTGTTTGTTTTTTAATATGCCCAGCTCCACACGGACATAAGCATGGGAGCTTTTATATCATAGCAAAGTATCAAAGCTTTTACAAAGGCTTATCAGGCAGATTTCTCTTCAAGTGCAGCCAGCTTTGCCAGCACTGACTCGATGGTACAAGTGCTAACGCTCACAGGCGAGCAGCTCTTGGGAGACTCAACAAAACACAAGGGCAGCATTGAGGCCGACATCCCAAACAGCTCTGCTAGCCAAAGAGATTAAAGGTCGAACGCACAATCATCCGAGCGGAGTCCGGCAAGCGTGAGCTTGCCCGCTGCGTCTGGAGGGTTGCAATCCCCCCAGAAACCGTGATGGTCCCATAGCCGAGACCATCCGAGGGCTGAGGGGCAGCGATACCTCCCTCCCCACCAGGAAGCCGCCGGACGACCTTACCTCCCTGGGCACAGCTCGCCCGCTCACCCGAACACAAAAACCCACCCCCGGCAGTCCCGAGCTCAGCGCTCCCCGCCCGGCCCGCTCGCCCCCCC